CTTGTCCTCTTGTTCAGGGAGGCCATGGAGATCCCACCAGATGGAATTGAACCAGTGTCCAGTCTACAAAAAGGAGGGTCAACTCAGAGGAAACATTTCCTCCATGCTTCCAAGTGAAGCCAGCCATGGTCGAGTAGGACCTTTGATTTATCTTCACATAGACAGAACTGGTAAAAGAAAGGATCCAGGGGCTCTTTCAAAGCCCATGTGACCCCTGAGGCACAGATCCTCAAACGACCTTAAGAGTAAAAATAAATTGGTTTATATGGGCCAACTGTATGGCCTTAAACACCCAAAAGGATAGTATAACCAAAGATTGAAGGGGCCAATATAATTTCTCAAGAGTCCATATGCATAGCTAAAGGCTACATAACAAGCAACAATGCCAGATAGGAGACTCCTTCTCTTGAGTTGTTGGCCAGGGTGGCCAAAGGGACTCCCAGATAGTAACCCAGCATAGAACTGGGGAAATCAGCAGATCCCAATCTTATCTAAAGAACATTGACAACTGATTGCTGCTAGATGATGAACAGCTGACCTTCCTAAAACAAAGACCTCTAGATAGGCTAACTAAATTCACCAGATGGACAAGTAGTGAGGAATAGCTAGGGGTGCCGACAACACAGCAGACAGTAGCAGGGATATCAGAATATAAGGGCCTGGGGGTGGGAGGAGATGGAGGTTGTGGGGAGGGTGCCATCTGGGAAGTGGGTGTATTGTTGAATAGGATGGTTTGGGTTGTTCTGTGTGATATACATACATACCAAAAAAAATTTTTTTTAATGTATTTGAGAAGGAAGGATGGAAATTTATGGCATGTTAATTGGTAGAGGTGATAAACATTACCATTGAAATCTACCCGATGACTTTATAGGCACCAAGGATCCAAGTGCAACCAATTATGACTGGTAATAATCAGATACACACAGAATAGAAATGAATGCGCCAACATCTCAGTGTTAGTATAAAAAACAATGAGTCTTTCTGCAAGGAACAATATATTCTAAAATGAAATGGAGATCTTTTTTAAA